ATTTGACTTCTATTTCGCAACCATTGTCTCAAACTTTTAGTATCAGTTATTCCCAGACTTCTCAGATAATACTTCTCATAATCATAGCTATATCGGTGCAAATGATCCATATATAGCTTCAGAAGTTTATCGTCCGTCTGAATATTCTCTAAGAATTTATGCCACGAATCAGTTGATAAAGAATCCAAACCATAGATACTTTTGAGTGATTTATCAGAACTCCATTTGGGAATCACATCTTTACCGGCGATGTTGTCTGCAGTCATATTCGTGTAATAGATATCAAAATCTAATGGCCGTCCCTTTAGATATTCAATTAATTATGAATTAATATTAAAATTAGTGCAAATTCAGTTATACGTAACATACAGTGCTATCCAAAGTGAACACTTTATACCCGGGATTGAGATAAGAAAATGAGGCAATACTTGATCCGATATAAGCATGAGATATGGGATATGTCTCATTGGTTGTGGTGTTCTTGTTGTATAAGACCTCGATCTCATCGCTGTGTGTATGACCCAGATATGTGCCAACAATTATATAGAGGCAATACTTGATCCGATATAAGCATGAGATATGGGATATGTCTCATTGGTTGTGGTGTTCTTGTTGTATAAGACCTCGATCTCATCGCTGTGTGTATGACCCAGATATGTGCCAACAATTATATGATCATACCTTTCCATTATTCTAATATAGTTATTGGCCCAGGACATGTAGCAATACATTAAAGGCATGTGAGCTATACAGTAGGTGACAGTAATACCATAATTGAGTATTGTATTTCATATAAGAAATATTTGTCAGTACTTATAATCATAACATATAATCCATTGGTCTCTGCGCTGTCCAACTCATCTATAAACCACTTGAGCTGACCGTCCGGATCGACGGGATCGTAGGCCAACCAATAGTTGCGAGAAATGCAGACATTATTATTCAAGACAACAATCTTGAGTCCATCGGTAACTTGCTTTGAATAATAGCCACCCTTTTTAAATGTTTTCTTAGCCGTCGGTGTGTTTATCCATTGCGACCAATAGTCATCTGCCAGTGTGTCGTACAGCCAACTCAGCGATAAGTATTTGTCTGTTTTGATGGACACTTCTTCGGGAACATACCTATTAGTTACGAGCAATTCATTTAATTAATTACACTATAAGTAATGATTAAATCTAATGAATACATATTGAAGGGGTGGGGCTCGTGATTGCCAATACAGGGGAATATATTTTTGTTGTCAAATGACTTCTTAACCAAATCAGCCATCGCTTTGTTGTGGTCTAAGTTCTCCTGTTGAGAGCTATTCCAGCTATCATGGGGTGCATTATCTCCCGTCCAGATCACTAAATCGATATCCTTATGACTTTCGGCCATATGTTTAATGGATTCGTCGATGAAATTACGAGGAGTGTCGCAATCCTTTGCCGGTTCAGACCAATAGCCCGCAGAGTGGTTGTGGCCGTAAGATGTGGACCGACAACACATCGGTTCGTCGCACATCGAGTTGGATCCCGGAGTGTAATACAGGTCCAAATGGACGTCAGTTAAGTGCAACATCTTCTGTTCTCTACCACTTCCCGACACAGGATTAAAAGGTTTGTGTTTCGGTAGATCTAGCACCCAGTTCACCTAAATATCAATTCAAACATTCCGTATAATTTTAGTCATCATTTATAATATAAATAATTTTATTGAATTAATTACTTGAGGAGTAATAGCCTTTCCTAAGTGTGCCATACAATCGGGTTCTAACAGAATGGCACACATTTCGGGGACAGTTATCTTTGAATTTTGTAGGATATATACGATGGGATCTGCCATCACATTCAGTGTGCCCACACATACCCGGTCCACTTCGTCACTAGTCTTACATATTGTTTTGGCCGCAGATTTCAGCAAATCAGGAGTTTTTATGATTAGTTTCGCAGCGTTTAGAGCAGAGACACAGTTATGACACGTCTGGTTGTCGTGTTTGGATCGGTCGATGTCATGCCTCAAGTCATCCAATTGCTGTCAACGTGTTATTAAATTATGTTTGAAATTAATACAATTACATTGTTTTAAAACTGCTAACCTTTATGACTTCCAATATATCATATCCATTAAGTTGTTGTCTATGTTCAGCACTTATAAATTGGTTCAATTCATGTCTTAATTGATTCAAATTCTCATAGTATTTCTCACATCTTATATAAGGTGTGAATAAAACAATTAAAATAGCACTTAATAGTAATAATAGATTCATTGTTTATTGTGAAGTGTTGTCAAACAATTGACGACTTTTATATACTGTATAAATATTCATATCAAGAATATTATGATCTCAAAGATATTACAAACGGTTAGAAAATTAAAAATGGATACTTGATGAACTATTTATCCTGATTAACCTGATTATCAAAATAATTCTAATACAGTACACTCAAACTATTTATCGCTATCTTATATGGATTAATCAAATAAGTCCCTATCATACGATTTCAGAACTAATTCACCAAGTACAGCTGACTTTCAATTACAGTTTTCCATATAAAAAGTATTCTGTTAGGATTGACTCATTTACAGCAGTATTAGAGACCCTACTGTCCGGAACTGTCCATTTGTTTGTTTTGTTTAATACTAAATTGTCATTAATCTCTCATTAGACATACTATTTAATGCATTTGATTAATATAAGGATTAAAATGTCAGAATATTTTCAAAAGGATTAACTTGACGCTAGTGTTAATCAAATGATAAGCAATTATTATGAATTGCAAACATAATTGAAATTGAAAGCATAAATTGCAATTTATTATCAGGATTACACACTGAAATGCAAACTTTTTATCACATAATTTCATCTCACGGTTAGTCTAAATGTCATCTATTGAAGTCACTAATGCACTCATCTGTCATCAGTGAATAGGATTTAGTTATACTGTCTGTTATAAAAATTACTATACTGTGGAAGTGGTGGTCGGAGAGGGAGTCGGAGTCGGAGTGGACGGAGAAGGCGCTGAACAGGAAAGACGTTTTTGGACGGCTTTTGTCTTTTTGTGGAAATACTTGTTATGACAGAAAATATTTGAATATTTATTAAAAGAGATTTATTTCTGTGAAAAATGTGTTCATTATTTGATTCGTAACCTAATGTCTGATCCAATGTGTGGTCAATATATGAGACCAATTCTGTGGAAGCAGTGGTGGAGTCAGAGCTACAGTCAGTCATAAGCGGAGTATAAAATCCCAGAAAAGTTGTCATTTCTCTCAGTTTCTGTTCAGTCACTTGACTTCACTCTCGAAAGTGTATAGACTTGTGATAAAAGTTATCATAAGTTACCACAAGTGGTGATAATGACATCAGTCATGGAAGTGAGTGCTTCGCCATCGAAGGCAAGAGAGAAACGATTTGAATGGTATCGCGAAAACCGAAAGGAGAGTCGCTTTAAAGTCCTGAATAAACAGAACTAATGATTGGAACCAATTATATGTCAAAGACTTGTCATCACATGAAATCGATGTGGAGTTCAGTGTCTATGACTGCAAATGGATGGACACATCAGTGCTCTCATCACTTATATCCAGAATATAAGTGATTCAGCCGTTGATGACCAGAGAGTGGTTGACATTATGGATCAGACCATCAAAATGATGGCTTACATTAGTCCTACGATTCCTCACTCTATTCTCGTATAAAATAATCATAAGTTTTGTTATAAGACTTGTTGTCTAATCTGTGGTTATATTTCAGTTGAACTTCTGGCAGATGTGTCACGAGTTTGTTGTTTTGGCGCAAATCAAGCCACAGATAGTCCTAATCCTCTTTGACTCACAATTGGTGCCAAAGATGATCGAGACGTGCGGTTATGGAGACAACCAATTGTTGACGAGAACTCTGGATGTGTTCAAAGACTACATCGAAACCATTGAAACCAATGAAGAGGTGTTCCCTCACGAAAAGAGTGGTTCACTTGAAGTGGTTCACTGTGTTGTCACACAATGTTCAACAAAAAGATGCATAGATTGGATATTTGAACATTTATATAATATTATAAAATATACATTCAATTGAAATGAATGAGAAACCAAATAAAAATTAAATTCTTTATATTTTTCTCAACAATAGATTTGTATAAATATAACAAAACTGAGTCTTCAGTGAACTGACTGACAGAGCAATTGTAAGTCTGTCTGAGAATCAAACGAATCGTCAGAATATTCTCGACAATGAGTGACGAGAAGACACCCAAAGAGCCGACAGAGAGCAACAAAAGTAGTGAAGAGTCAACTCAAAGAGGTTCCGGAGAATTGGTTGGAAGGACTGCAACCATAACTATC